CTTCCAACCCAAAGCATTCTACGATCTTAAAGTAATCCAACATATATTGTGAATTATTAATACTTCTACATGCTAGATTTTAAATAAATATATTTAGCTACAGTAAGCCACTAAGCATATATTGATAAAATTAGCATTTCAGATGCCAGAGGATGAAAAACAAGTGCTGTAACAATTTTACCAGAAGAATGATCGAGGCTCCCATTAATGTCAGGCAACGCAGCTATTTATTTAAATGAAAGCACTCGAAGTCGCATGTTAACAGCTCTCTAAGTCAAAACTGGGGGTAAAAGAAAGAATTCAAGATTTCAAATGTGGCTTCACATTATAATTTTATCTGGTAGTAACTGCAAGCTACCACCAAAAGGGGGCGATCTTGCTGATCACCAAACCTGTTTCCACCTTACCTGTGAGGCCAAATCTGAAACTGTAAAATGAGTCAGTTCAGACCAACAAACTGACTGGGCAGAAAACTATTAAATTTTCTTTCAGTGGGAAGTGGTGGGGGATTGTTCAGCCTGGAGAAGAGAAGGCTCCGAGGAGACCTCATTGCAGCCTTCCAGTACCTGAAGGGGCTACCAGGAAGCTGGGGGGGAACTTTTTACAAGGGTCTGTAGTGACAGGACAAGGGGGAATGGGTACAAATTGAAAGTGGGGAGGGTTAGATTAGATATCAGGAAGAAATTCTTCCCAGAGAGGGTGGTGAGGCACTGGAACAGGTTGCCCAGAGAAGCTGTGGATGCCCCATCCCTGGAAGTGCTCAAGGCCAGGCTGGACGAGGCTTTGAGCAACCTGGTCTAGTGGAAGGTGTCCCTGCCCATGGCAGGGGGGTTGGAACTAGATGGTCTTTAAGGTCCCTTCCAACCCAAACCATTCTAGGATTCTATGATTCTATGATTCTGGCAGGGGCAGTGCAACAGGAGAGGGTAGAGTAGGATGGCCATGTGGGGAAAGAGCTCTAATATCTCAAATTAAATATGATGTTAAAACCAAGCAACCAAACACCGCCACCACCCCCCACAGGAAATGAACAGTACAGTTAATTTCCTGTACCACACACCATCATTCTGGAACTGAAATTTCAAATGCACAGCTTTCATTTAGAATATGGTACGTCCAATGAAGTTAGGATCAATTAAAGGTATTTCTTTCAAATGCAGTGAAATGATTATAAATTATCTTAAATTCCAATTGTAAGAAAATATGAAATATGAGCCATAAAAACCTACTTTGGGGGTTTCAAGTCTCTGTGAATTAGAGCTTTTGGTTTCATGCTGTGGAGATATGCCACTCCTTGGGAACACTGTAAACACCAACTCATGGCATGTGCAGCAGTATAATGAGGCAGAGGTTCAGCACCATGCAGCACTGCAAAACAAAGGCACAAACTAAAAAGAACTTTATTGTATATTACAACAGATACAATGGAGTTAACGACATACCAGTTAGAAAGCTCTATGGAATCTAGGTAATTACCAAAGCCTCATCACTGCCACTGAAAATATCCTTCTACAGACTTAAAATAATGGAAATGTCAAAATATTTTTCCTTTTTAGTATGTTTTTCATAACTTTTGATGTTAAAATATGGAATGTGTTGCTTGTTCTCAGCTATCTCTGGTAAAGTCTGTGTCAAACAAATGCTCAGGGAATTTACAAGTTACGGAAGAATCTTTTCAGATGTTACACTGGAAAACCTTAAATGATTTGCACAAAATACAACCAACTGATATCAAGAAACAAACCAGTGGACTGAAAAGTGTTTTTTAAAAGCACACTCCTTTCTCCTTAAAATTATTTTAAGGATTTCAAAGACCCACAGAATGGTTGGGGCTAGAAGGGACCTCTGGAGGTCCACCAAGCAGGGTCAAGCAGGCCACCTAGAGCCGGCTGCTCAGGACTGTGTCCAGGTGGCTTCTGAGAATCTCCAAGGATGGAGACATATGTATGAAACAACTTTGTATTTTAGATCATGTTCCCCCCTCACACTAGTACTTCAGCTCCAGGAAGCCACTATGTTGAAATTATACTCACCATTGTATAGAGAACCTCCTTCAGCATATTCCATAACAAGACACACCTTTGGGGTGGAGAAGGGGACAAAAAATAGGGAAAACAGCTTTTGTAAACTGAAAGGAAAATTCTATGAGAGGAACTGCAAAGTCTCCGTACCTGAGCTTATGGAAAATTTATCTATAAGGTAAAGAGTCAGCTTGAATGGTACATATTTACATATAAAAAACAACTATCAGTTTTATATTTAGTTCCTACTGTAAGTTAAGAAAGAGGAGAATGACCTCCCCACCACCTCCAATTCCTGAAAAGCAAAAGCTGTCTTCAAACTGCAATTAATTTGCCTTTACTTTTTATTTTAGTAGCTTACAAAAAATTTTAAATACCATGTCAAAAGAGTATCGCTAGTACTAAGAAAAAAAGAGATGCAGCATTATTTTAACCAAATAAATACCCCATAGTAGAATTAGCTAAGGATACATCTGCCCTCTCACAGTACTCGTTTTTCTGCTTTGAGAATTTGAGAGACTGCCTGCAGCTGTGGCAGAAAGAAAGCAAATCCTGAAAACTGCATGTATGAGAATAGGAACTGACTTACAAGCTATGAATCACGTGTTGCTAATGTATTTTCTTTTCGTATTGCTGATTTGCGGTTAATAGGACTGTAGATATGAATCACGCTACATATGCAAGACACTGGATGCCACTCTGACAAACTGAAGTATAATAGGTGTTCAGAAATAGCTCTGGGGTTTTCTTGAAAGAATTTATTTCTTACAGTGGTGCAAAGAATCCAAAAACCTGAAAATATCAGCCAGCCTACATATCTCTGTATTTCCTTATTATGGCTAAACCATAAAAGTATATATAAGATAAACACATTTGTATATAAAAATATACATTTTGATGCTTGCATATGTTAAGCTAGTCACCTCTTGTCATACTGTCAAAGCTGTAACTTACTGGGTTTAGACAGGCTCCATATAATTTGACAATATTGGGGTGGTTTACTCGCGACAGTTGCCGAAGCTGCAAAACAAGTCACACTTTTCAAACCATGGCAAAAAAAAGGCTAATGGTTTATTTTCACATCTATAATTCGTACATCACAACAGCAATTACAGTTTTATATGTCTGCACAACCTATATGGTGATTTTAGGAATTACAAGACTGATGTCCCTGTTTGCATCTGAATTTATGTAATTAGGTTTGTGTCTAACTGGAACTGTATTTAAAAGAAATATAAAGAAAGTATTTTTTTCATGATATAGTAAAATCACTCAAGTCATAAGCACTGTGCAACTAAGACCTCTATAGGCTTGGTGGTCTTCCTGGAGCCTCCAATTTTAGAATCCCCATTATCTAACTACCTAAACAATCGGAGTCATATTGGCTTTATTAACAACATATTAAATTACTGGCCTTAACAAAAAAGGTAAAAAACAAACCCACAATCCTATAAAATAAACAACCAATTTAATATTAGTGTGTCGTAGTTCCAAGAACCTACTGCTGCTTGTACTAACTGACCATCAGACCATTTTGCACTGATTTGTTTTTTTTTTTTTTTTACCAGTAAGTAGGAGAACAGAAGGGAAAGGCATTTTCTTCCTTTACACAGACTTCTGGGGCAGCTTATGCTATTATTCAACTAGGGAGCTAATATTTTTTTCTGTCCACTTCATAAATTATAAAAAAACCTAGAAAGGAGTATTACAACTGATGCTTTCATAGTCTAGGGTTTCCTGAATCCCAGTAATTACTGACGTATTTCTGGAACTATCTTCTCAAATCTCTTTTGAACACAAGAAGGCTAAAAGACTGATCAGTTCTACTCAGTATCAAATTAGACTCAGGTTAATAATATAAAAAAAACTTTCAATGGCAATGAATGATATATAAATATTTACACAGAGAAGCCTATTACAAATATGCTTCCCTTAACTCTTCAGTGTTTTACATTTTTAGTTCCAAAATCTAAGAGATTTTTTTAAAACGTATTTTGTATGTTACATGATGACGCATTTGTGTCTCCTGAACATCCTAGGTTCTTACTGACTAAATAAATACTTAGCAGCATGTCACAATATATTTAATTTAAATTAAATGGCTAACTTTTGATTCTAGAAAATGTTATGTATCTTGGGAAGTTTATCAGTATATCTGAACTACTCAAGATCCTTCTGAAGAAGCAGACATTGAATGGAGTGATTGCCCTTAAATGAGTTATACATATTAATATGTAAGAAAAAAACCCCTAATTGATTAGAACTGCATAGAAAAGACTAAGTTTCAAGTGTGGACCTGATTGAAGACCGTATGCTGTAGTCCCTGGAAGTAATCATCAGTTCCAGGATTCTGGTGGGTATTCCAGCTACACCCTGACTCCATGCTGGGACAGAATCCAGGAGCTGGAGTTTCCCCAACCTGGATACCCTCCTCTCTATCCCCCTTGCCTTCCAGTTTTTATGGGAAGCAAACTAAAGGAGCTGCAGTGTGCTCTGACAGGTGTCCTGTTTTGCACGACAGGGGGTCCAGGCCTGTACTGGGTACCACAGGCTGCACTGACCTTGTAATACAGACACAGCTTTTAGTACACTAAATCCACTCATTAATTAAGAAAACAAACTCTGCCAAACCCCATGTTTTTTCAGCAAACTTACTGTACCTCTACAATGAAGGCTTTTCTTTCAGATTCACTTTCTATTTGTTTAATGGCTACATCTTTAGCTCGCCATTTTGCCTTGCAGACCACACCAAAGGCTCCTCTTCCAACAACCTAGAACAAGATAACACAAAACACAAGCAGAAAAGAAATTTAACTTAGAATCCTGAAGACACAGAATTGAGTTTTGCACCAGCAAGTTAATATTATGCCATCAAAGTGCAACTGGTGCTTAGCTAAGCCACCTCCAGAGATCATTTACACAAGAACTGGAAACCACACATACAAAACATTTTATTATTAACATGCAGTAACACTATTTCAGAAAAACGTGATCTTAATTATTTCAAACAAGATTTGCTCAGAAGAAAATTAGGGGAATGACGGCAAATTTATGTTTATAGGTTTGACCAGTGAAGTTATATCTGTTGTATTCGTTTATGCTTGCTAGTAATAGGAATTCAAACTTCTGAAATTTGAATGCATACGCAAGCAATGGCACAGGACGATCATAGAATCATAGAATCACTGGGTTGGAAAAGACCTTAGAGATCATCCAGTCCAACCGTATCTGTCCGCCACTAAACCATATCTCTCAGCACCTCATCCACCCGTCTCTTAAACACATCCAGGGATGGTGACTCCACCACCTCCCTGGGCAGCCTGACGATGCTGAAGTCCGGACGACATGTTCAGTGTCCTCAAAGTTATCCTGCCATTTTCTCACAGAGTTCTCCTAAGAGTCCTCCAAATAAAGCACCGTGTCTGTATCAACCATACTTTCTTGGTTTTTGTTCATGTCTGCTTTCTAGTGTATTTGGAATTAACATTGCCTAAAACTATACAAAACCAGGCAAGAGTCATAACTCTTCCCTGTAACTGCACAGAAGCAGTAGTAGCAGCTTCTGCATACTGTATTCTTCAAGAATCCTTTCACATTTGCTGTGAAGAGGCTCTAACACCACCATTATTTGAGGTAGTTCTTTGAAACCAAGCACAAAAATGGAAGCAGGATAGAGAGGTGTCCTTTTTCTAAGGTCACTACCAGTTACTGGTGAGTTATGAACTACAGTAAATGGAAATTTCATTTTATTGCATTCTTCAGGGGAAAAAAATAGCAACATAGAGAAATAACAACAGAACGTGCATATGCAATGCAAAGTTGAAACTAGAGGGTCACCAAAACAGACTCTAGCTGCTACAGGAAAGCACAGACAAGCAAGTTGCGACATATGCCCAAAAAGAAAGGTGGAGAGGAGGAGGACATGGAAGGCACACAAAGGCACAGAAGCAACTAAGGGATAGGAGCTCCTCCAGCTCCAGAAAACGGAAGGCAGGGCAACAAGCATGGGGAGGGAAGAAATGGAGAAGGGGCTAGGTGGGCTGGTCTCGGATTCTGCATTTGGCCCGTTGGTTTTAACAGCATCCTGTTCTTAGTCCTTGATTTCAATCAATATCATATGCATGATGAGGAGCAAAGCAGACGCTTCTAATGTAATAAACGCTTTTTTGGGAGGTGAATGAGAAAAGAAAGGAAAGGAAGAAGAGTAGGAAGACAGTGGAGTGGAAGCATTTACAAATGTCACTATCATAGCAGTTCATTATGGCAGAATTTAGTTTTACTACCTTAAATGGGTAAGGCAAACAACATGAGTATTATTTTGGATGAAAAAACACACTTTCCAAAATTACAAAGCTCTTCACTAGAAAGTCATAGTTAGTTATTACTTCATCCAATAGAAAAGGGAAAAGATTCTTGGGGGTGGGGAAAAGGTTTTGAAAACTCTCTTTTCAAAATTAAAAGAGAGATGCAACATCATTAAAGGAGCCACAAAATGTTGAAACATAATACTGTATCCACATTATAAAAACCAGTACACCAATTCGTACAGGTTCACTAATGAATTCACTCCCTAACAGTTTCTTAAGAAAAGTGTGATTTGTAGGAGATCAGCGAATAACCACACATTCCCAGTGCTCAAACAATACAAACTTCCTGCTGCCTGAATGCTTATCCTCTGAGGAAATAACACTTAATTTTATCTCTCGTTTTGAGATGCCTTCCAATATAGTAATAATCCAGAACATAAATTAAGAGTGTTGATCCAGAGAAAGCAACTTGGTAGCCAGGACTACAGCAACACCAGACTGTACTTGTCAAGGCTCCTTGTCAAAGTAAACTATCACGTATGTAAACCACGCTTGGGTTAGGTTCTCACCACATGCTTTCTTCGTAAATAAATAAATGAATAGTGAAGCTGATTTCCCCTGAGAATGGGGTAGATAAGGCTGCAGGTGCACAGCTCAAGACCTGCTAAACTTTCATGCTGAATATGAGAAAGTCTGCAATCAAAAGCCCAATTTGAAGAGGGGAAAAATATAAATTAAAAATATAATCAAGATTTTGCAATGAGAAAGATTAGAAAACGGGAAATATGCTTAATGTTTTTCTAAGGTTACATATGGATGTAAGATATGGCTGGCCAGGAATGGTGATCAATAGCTTTTTCCTCTTCTGGTTTCCTTAATACAGTCAAAGAAGCATTTTTCTCTTTTACATTACAGCAGGCACTTAGCCCACCAGGATCTCCTGGCTTCTCACGCTCCAAACAGCGGTTCACAGACTGAGTCTACCACAAGATAGCCACAGCAGATCCACAGAACATGCCCCATTCTGCCCCGCGTAAAAAGGGACTGGTGATTGTAGCCTCCTCCCTGAGACACGGTACAGGGCCTTGACTCTTCATATTACACACACTGACTATTTTCTTGCAGTCCACAACTGAGATTGGAAGCACCAAGTCACACGAATGATGGTGAAACAGCCTACGAAAATAGTACAGTACATGTAAACAAATTTGAGACAGTGAGTCACCAGAAGACCCAGAAGTCCTCAATAGTCTTTCTTGGTATTTCTTCTTCTGTCTCAGAACCCGTTTTGAATAAAATTGCTCAATTTCTTGGGGTTTGCAGGCCACTCACCTTCTTGCACTGGCACAAGAGAGTTGTCCATTACAAGCCCTCTATCCAACTTGCACAGTGCATGACCAGACCTACAGTTTAAGAAAAAATTCATGAAGCTGTGTGTGTGCCATGAGTCTGCACTTCACAGAAGTGCTGATTTACTGAGCACATGGAGATCATCCAATGTGCGAGCACACGTAACTCAGACAGCAGCCTGCTCATGCCTGAGAAGTACTAAGGACAGAGAGTTAATGAGAGAAGGATGTCACAGAGCAGCTGGGGCAGCACAAACTGCACTGACAGCAGCAATTCGAAGTTTGCTGTGCCCCTATGATATGAAAGAACCCAAACTGGTCAAGTAACTGGGAAGAACTTCTCCCTCCTTAGGGAAAAGGAGGTGTGCACAAAATGATTTCTCCTGGCTGGATGGCACAAGGCTGAGTGACACTCCTTTCAGAAGGCTCCTTTTCTCACTGCACGTTCTCTCACACTCACAGTTTTTTTACTATGGCTTTGTTGCATTTAATGCACTGACACAGAAAAAAAAATTGCTATTTGAAAAAGGCACATATTTATCAGTTAAAAGATTGGTCTCAGGCACATCTGATAAAAATTTAGTGAAAGCAATTTGACTTGGTTTTTTTACTTAACCTGAATCCATCAATTTGTGATGGATCAGGCTTACTTTTTTTGGCTAGTCATATCTTCCCTTGCTGAAAAGACTTGTGTATGTCCATATGTACAAATATATTATGGATATAATTTTAATATACTATGTAACATCTATTTTAATATATTTAATATTTTTTGCATGTATATAAAAATAAAATTGCATACATAGAAAAAAAGCACAAGTATCTTGCATTTCATTCCACATGGTCAAGTTCAGCCTGAAAGACAGTACAATAGCATACTGTTTCCCTGAAGATAAATCCATGACTATTTAATTATACGTGTATTTCCAGTTCACATACTGGAGAAATCATTATTTTTCAGTGATGCCATAACATTTCTATTCAATGAAGAAACTAAGATAAATCAGGGTACCGTCCAATGCTCTGCTTTACATTGTGCCATGAATGCCACAATATTTGAAAGTGCTCTATTTGAACGTTCTATGTGAAAAGTGGAATAAATCCCAAGAATCACTTTATGAAGTCCTGCTGATGAATGGGGGGAGAGGGAATAAAAAAGCCACAATCAGCGTCATGCAGCAACAGGAAGAGTTTACCAGGCAATCAAAATCTTAATTATGTAACAGAAAGCTGCGAGAGACCATCAGGTATATAAATTTTATGGCTGGTGAAAAGAGTTTGATAAATGACTATGCAGTCAAGGTTTCATAATAATTTATCAGCGACTTGGTGCCTGCTTAGGCAGCGGGTTGAACTTGAGAAGAGGACACGAATGCACTGAATATTTACCTAGGATACAGGGAAAACAGAGAAGAGCCGATCCTCTGTTACTGCAGCTCAGCCTCTTGGACAGCATATGAAAGGAGCAACCGCCAGATGCAATGACAGATCCGACACAAACTTGAAGTTCACCATACGTGAAAGCCCAGTATTTCTTTCCTACTTAATCTGGAAAAAGTGTCTTACTCATCGTAAAAATATCCTTTTTAAGTTGACAGAACGAAGCATGTGGTGGATTCCACTCACATTTCATCTTCTTCCTTTAAGTTTTCACTGAACTTAATTCTTAAAAGGAGCAAGTCTTAGAATTTGGCAGAATGGTTTAAACACTGCGTAGTTTCCTTCAACACCGCATACTGGAACAAAGTAACTTAATAGCACAGGAGGGAGGTGCTGCCTGAACTCTACCCATTCCTCCTTGTCCCCTGCTGTTGGTGCCCCACCATATGTTTGGGCAGTAGTGCATATTCTGAATTATATGAAGCACAGTTAATGGAACTATTGACACAACAAATCAATAAACAGCAGTTGATCTGTAGCACTGCGTATGTTTGGAAAATGATCTAAAAATAAGCACATTCTTTTGGTAAAAGATTTTGGCTGTCTAAATATCTTCTAGGAGAAAAAAAGGAAAATATAGGGCAGATGACACGTTTAGAAATAGAACACCAGGGCTTCTACTTTTCCACAGAACACAATTAAGTTTGTCAAGTATCACTTGGTTAGTACATGACA